AGCGTCTGGCACCTTCAGTCCCTGCTGGGAAAGCTCAGACTGAGGCTGTCTTCTCCCCCTCCATGGCCCCTGTTGGCTGCCCTTCCTGCTTCAGGAGACCAGCTCTTACATTTATGCCAGTTCAGAGAGCCAGGAAGGAAACAGGAGCTCCTCAGGCACTGGCCCTCGGCAGACAGGCTGTGAAACAAGGCGTGTGAGCACCCATCAGCCCTCCACTCCGTGTCTTTGCCTCTCTTGGGTCTCCTTCCAAGACAGGCATTAGTGTCAGCAAGGTGCCCGCCAGGCCCTGAGCTAGGGTTTTCTCCTACCTCTTCTCACTGACACCTACCCACCCTAGTCAAAGATGTTTCTGTTGGCTGTGACAGTTGGAAATCAATCAAACCACTGTCTCTCCACCCCCAGGTATTGAGGGACCACCCCTCCCCCCAAACAAACAAAAAAAACCCCACCAGGTCTTGAGGGACCAACCCCCCCCAAACAAACAAAAAACCCCACCCCAACTGTTTGTTTAACAACAAAGAGAAAAATCAACTTCTTTTTTTTTTGGGGGGGGGGTCCAGTCGTGGGCCTGAACTCTGGGCCTGGGCGCTGTCCCTCAGCTCTTCAGCTCAAGGCTAGTGCTCTACCACTTGAGCCACAGCGCCGATTCTGGCTTTTTTTTTTCTTTTTGCTTATGTGGAGCTGAGGAATCAAACCCAGGGCCTCATGCATGCAAGGCAAGCGCTCTACCACTGAGCCACCTTCCCAGCCCAGAAAAATCAACTTCTAAGGTTGACATTTTCAGCATTATAGTCTACTGGCTAGAAGTGGAGGTGCGTTTGTCAATGCTGTGTGTGTTGTGTATGTGAACAAATATATTTCCCTTTTATTTTTATTTTTTTTATTTTTGTCGGTTGTGGGGCTTGAACTCTGGGCTTGGGCACTGTCCCTCAGCTCTTCAGCTCAAGGCTAGCGCTCTACCACTTGAGACACAGCGCCACTTCTGGCTTTTTTTCTTTTTGCTTATGTGGTGCTGAGGAATCGAACCCAGGGCCTCAGGCATGCAAGGCAAGTGCTCTACCACTGAGCCACCTTCCCAGCCCAAGAACTATTAATCCTTAAAGTTTTTGGTGTTTATGACATATCTGAGAGTCAGAGAGTAAACAGATATTTTGACTTCAGATGTTAACAGAGCTACATCTAGGAGAGTTTTCAGGATTTTTGTGTTTACTTTTCTTCAAGGAAGGGTGACTAAAAGCTAAGCCACTGAAGAAGGTTCTGTACTTGCTTAGTGAGTATGTGGTGCCTTTAAGCAGGATTCCTGCAGTTGAGTTTCACTAGTTCATAGCTGGTGGTCCATGAGAGAAAGTTCACAAACGATGCTTCCGTGACATCAAAGTTATTTTAACACCCCGTGTGGGGAAGTGTTTGTCAGTTTTTATACATAATTTCATGTGAGGAGCATACTTTGAAGGTAAAGTTAGCATTCCCATTTCCACGTATAAGAGACGCGGGGCAGAGCTCTGAGGGGCGTCTGAGGGGTGGATCTCACTCTGTACAGCTTAAGGCAGCACAATTTTCTCATCTGGGTTTCTGTAGCTCAGGGATGTGGGAGCAGCTTGTGGGGGTGTCCCTAGCTCCAGGTCTCATAAAGTTGTTGTGAAGATGCTGTCCAGGGCTGCGGGCACAGGAGGGCGTGAGGCGGCTGGAAACCCGCTTAAAACCGCCCTGATGCACCAGGCTGGTACGGGGAGGCTGGGTGCTTCACTTCATGGGGCTCGACTGCTGATGTTTCCTTCAGGTACACAGCCAGGGTCTTCCCAGCTCACAGGTGGTGTGCACACTATCAAAATCACTTACCAGGGCTGAGAAGGTGGCTCAGTGGTAGAGCGCTTGCCTTGCGTGCATGAGGCCCTGGGTTCGATTCCTCAGCACCACATAAAAAGAAAAAAGCCAGAAGTGGCACTGTGGCTCCAGTGGTAGAGCACTAGCCTTGAGTTGAAGAGCTGAGGGACAGTGCCCAGGTCCAGTGTTCAGGCCCCACGACCAGACCCAAAAAAAAATTTAAAAAAATCACTTACCTATGGGATGAAGGCAGGAGTGCACACCTACAGTGGTCTAGCCTGGAGATCCCACCGGCATTTCTGCTCTGTCCTGGGGATACAGGACAAAGTTCACTACTAGAAAGTTCATTATTGGAAAATGAACAGTTTTCAAGGCAATATGTCACTTATTTTTACATACGAGCTTATATTTCATGACAAGCTAACAGTCTCTTTTCAGCCAGAGTATTTGCATACCCACTATGAGAAGCACAGAATAATGCAAACTGTGAACAGATTCTCAGCTTTGTCTTACCTGCTTCATCCACACTATATCAGTGACGTTGACTGCACTGTGAAAACCAGCGTTTTACAAACCCATGAAGTAGAAAATCAGTCTCCCAGGATTGAAGAAATGTCTCCATGCCTTTTGCTTTCTAATGGGAAGATGAGAGGTCATATTTTCTCATTGATTTCAGTGCTTCAAACAGGTTAATAGTATTATATGCTAGTGGGAACATTGCATGGTAAATAACTCAGTGTTATTCAAATCAACTAATATTAGAGGGAAATGCAGACACCGTGTCCACTATCATCACGAATCCTGTATTCTTAGAAGATAATGCAAAGCATGGAAACCTTTTGTCCAATTTTCAGCATTGTGAGCAAGACAGATTCAGGCACAAAAAGTCTCTGTTGTTTTAAGTAGTCAGTGGCAAATGTATATACAAAATCAGGCCTAGCATGGAGAAAAGTGCACCTAAAATAATTTTCCCTACTGTTTTGTTTTTGGTTTTGGTTGGTTGTGGGGCTTAAACTCAGGGCCTGGGAGCTCTCCCTGATCTCTTTTGCTCAAGGCTAGCATTTCTATCACTTAGAGCCATAGCTCCACTTCCAGTTTTTGTGTGGTTAATTGGAGATAAGAGTCTCATGGGGATTTTTCTACCCAGACTAACTTTTAACCTTAATCCTCAGATCTCAGCCTCCTGAGAAGCCAGGATTACAGGTGTGAGCTACTGGTACCTGGTTTCCCCATACTGTTTGTCAATATTTTCCGTCTTCTCTTTCTGTCTTTCACCTATCAAGTGGTATTTTTGGGGGGGGGAGGGGGTCCAGTCATGGGGCCTGAATCTGGGCCTGGGCGCTGTCCCTCAGCTCTTCAGCTCAAGGCTAGCGCTCTACCACTTGAGCCACAGCGCCACTTCTGGCTTTTTTCTTTTTGTTTATGTGGTGCTGAGGAATCGAACCCAGGGCCTCATGCATGCAAGGCAAGCGCTCTACCACTGAGCCACCTTCCCAGCCCCATATTTGTTACTATGTGTGTTAGGGCAGAAGAGGAAAAGAAAGAAAAAGGTTAGGGTTTGCTTTTCACAAAAAGTACTCTTTCTGCCCACCTTTGTGCCTTTCATTAGGGTAAGTACTTTTAAAATCATGTCACATCAACAAGGATCTTAAATACAGCTCAAGAAGAATAATATCCAAGTTGTGACTGGTAGATCAAGTGGGTTAGTTAGCCAGCTCCTGGGTTACTGCTTTTCTAGTCCATTCTGTTGCTTACTCTGCCCTTCTAACCTCCTTCCAGAGAGTTCTTGGCTCCTGGTGTTTGGGGTATTTGTTCCACATTCTTCATTTTATCAGTGGACTCTCATGGGTTTTGTACTGTAATTCAGCCTTTCACTGCTGCTTATGTTGTAGTCTTGATCTTGCTCTGACCTTAACACTATCACTTCCTTCCAGAACCTTCCCTGTCTGGGCCATCTGTCTCTTGTTATGTCCTGAATCTGCCATCTCCAATTCTTGCTCCTTCTGTTGCCCCGGCTCTCCCTGTGCCTTATTCTACAAATTCCCCTCTCTTGTTGGCCTTGCTCTTGGGGACAGAAGAACGTGGGGAAGGACGCACGGAAGCTTTGCTGAAAGGAAAATCTCCCCGGGAGAGTGAAGGTAGCCTAGAACCTGCTGGAATTACTGCCATTCCGAGCTCCTCTGCCTCTAGCCTTCCTGCGCCTGCCGCCTCCCCTCCCAAGCTCTCCTCTCAACTGCGAACGTTCCATTACTGGCATGGTCAGAGTTGCCAAATCTCACAGGACGAAGGGGCTTCCATCTCCAAACTCTTGTTGTGTCACTCATGTCAGTGTTCCGGGTGCTGGTGGAGAAGCAGGATGGAGTTCACTTTCCTCTCTTAATCCTCTACTTCTGTTACCCTTCAGGTCCTTGGAAATGTTTCCCTTTCCAACTGCATAATTACAGTTTCTGGAACAGAGGGAGGAGGAGAATGGGATGCATGCGTATTCCGTGTTCGTTCATTGGCTAATTAGAGCGCAGTGTGTCATTGCTGATTGCTGAGCGCCTGTCTCTCCGCGCTGCTCTGACACCGTGTTGGCAGTGGAGACAGTAAACATTCATCTTGTGGACGAAAGGTCGTCATGCATAGGTGGATCCAGAAAACAGTTCATGAAAAGGTCCAAAGATTCTCTTAGTCATATTAAACGCCACGTGTATGAAGCAATTCCTAGTTCTACAATGGTGGGTCGTACTAAAGAAGGAAATAACAGAATTTTCAGATAAGGACTTTTTTTTCCTGAGTGTTTGAGACAAGCTCTCGCATTCCTCCCGTCATACTGGGATTACAGGCATGCAGTGTGATGTCCAGCTCAGATAAGGTTCTTTACATGCCTTATAATCTTAACCTTACAATGTGCCATGGGAGAAAGAAGCCCTCTGGACTAAATGTAATTGTGCAGAATGTCTGGGGTCTGGTATCAGGGATGGCAGCCTGGCCGATTAGACCTGCATCCAATCAAGCAAGGCTCGTTAGGCTGCTGACCCAAGGGAAGTACATTTGATGCTGGAGAAAGTGTGACTACATCTTTCCTTCTTTCCCTGGAAGCTTTCTCCATATACCTGTTGGCTTAACCCATTTCCTGTTGCTATAAAGCAGCGTATTTAGCTTGGAGTTGCAGAGGCCAGCAGTCCAGGTGCATGGCACTGGCATCTGTGTGGCTTCTGGTGAAGCCTCGTGAGGCTTCAGCTCTTGTGGGAAGCAGAAGGGCAAGCAGATGCATAGGAAGAGAAGCGTATGTGCCAGCCAGGGGAGGCACCAGGCTCATTTCACAGCCAATCCAGTCTCCTAAGAGCCATTCTCAAGCAGGAGAGCATCCGTCCTCTTAATGACCTCATTTCCCCTTGTTATCTTTTTAATAGTTGTAAAAAGGGGTTTCAACTCAGCATGTCAATTCATTTGAAAAATGCATCTTAACCAGTATCGCCCCCTTCCATTTTTCTCTCCACCGTGTATCTCAGTCCTACGAGCTCCATTTTCATGTATACACGATAAGAATTATGTCTATATTGTCCCTCCCCTCTTTCTTCTCTCCATTGCTAATCACCTCTTGAAGGTACCAGTATCTCTCAAAATGATTGCCTTGGGGATCAACCCTTAACTCGATTTCTGGTGGGGGCAAACTATTCACACTGCAGAACCTGTGGTTATTAAAGATTGTCATTTAGGGCCAGTTCTGAGAGCCTTTCCATAGCTTTTCAGGGAGTAATACGCCTTTTGGGGAGAGATCAGAGATTCAAGTCCCTTGGGAAGTCAGGAAAACATTCTAGTTGATTTATATAGAAAGAAGATTCAGGGCTGGGAAGGTGGCTCAGTGGTAGAGCGCTTGCCTTGCATGCATGAGGCCCTGGGTTCGATTCCTCAGCAACACATAAGCAAAAAGAAAAAAGCCAGAAGTGGTGCTGTGTCTCAAGACACAGCCTTGAGCTGAAGAGCTGAGGGACAGCGCCCAGGCCCAGAGTTCAGGCCCCACAACCGGACCCAAAAAGAACGAAAGAAAGAAAGAAGATTCAGTTTATCTAAGAAAGAAGGAGGATGGCTGTCAATTTTGGACCCTTCATCTTTTATCTTACTCATGCATCTGTGTGTATCTTGCTGTGTGTTGATTGACAGGAGCGGGTAATGTCAGGGCCTAAGGGGGTGGTACCAGCTTGTCAGATCTTTCAGTCTGGATGACACTATAGAGTTGCCTAACTGTTAGGAATCCATTGTTGCCAAACCCCATGTGCATTTATTGTAGACTTGCTTAAAAGTCTTTGTGGGGCCTCACAGAGGCTGACCAGGGAAGGCTGTCCTTGGAGTTTCTTTATATATTTTTATGTATTGTAAAAATGAATGCTGTTAATATTTCCCTGAATTATTTATTATAAAGGAGAAGTCTAAGGAAAAACTATCCAAGCTTAAATTGGAGATAAAGATTTCATAAGATGCTTTCCATTCAAAGTAATTACTTAAAATTTGTCATGCATTTTAATAAACCTACTACCTTGCTCTCTTCTGTTAATTCAGTTCCTGCTTAATTTGAACTTCCTGTATCGTTTAAGAAAAAGCTTGAAAACCAAATTAATTGTAGCTGAACTCCATTTTCTCATCGTAGTAGCCATCAGCTTAAGCAGAGTTGGGTGGGTATTAGATAGATTAAGCATAGATTACAGCAAATTGACACTTCATAAGTGAGGAAGAGGCCCCAATTTTTAGGCAATGAAGAAGAGCTAGGTGTACTGAAAACCCCAGACACCGCTGTCTGATTATCAGCTGATTTTCCCTTGTGTCCTTGTTGATGGCCATGATTCTTTCAATATCAACAGCAAAGATCACTTTTCATCCAGTGTTGGCTTCTCAGTAGCTGGGACATTTATCTGCATTTGTTAAGGAGAGAATGATTTAAAAATAATCAGAGTAAGACTACTTTTTAGAACTATTTAAGCTTTCCCTGGGAAATGTGAACTTTTTAATGTTGGTTCCCCCTCTTTACTACAGAAAGCTTGTGAGACACTTTGCTCTAATTAACCAGCAAAAAGTCAGAAGTGGCACTGTGACTCAAGTGGTAGAGCATCAGCCTTGAGCACAAAAGCTCAGGGACAGTTCAAGCCCTAGGACCAGCACACACGCACATGTACACACACATAAATCATTTTTGTGAAAATGGAACAGTGGAGCTTGTTGAGATTGGTTTAGAAAGAAGGGAAGCGGAGCAGGAGGATGATGGGGCTAAGTCCGATTAAGGCATACTGTGTGCATACATGGACATGTCAAAGTGAAACATCCTTGTATAGCTAATGGGTGCTAATAAAAAGCTGAATTGTTTTAACCGGTATTTTCTTTCTCTCCTTTTTATGGTCTTTTTAATTTAAATTTTATTACTATTTTTTATATCTGGCCAGGAAACTTCATGGTGTTATGGTCAACATGCCGCACAACTGTGTTCAAATCTGTCACCAATAGGTTCATTAAAAACCTGGCCTGCTCGGGAATTTGCGCCAGCCTGTTCTGCGTGCCCTTTGACATTGTCCTCAGCACCAGCCCTCACTGTTGCTGGTGGATCCACACCATACACTTCTGCAAGGTCGTCAAGTTTCTGCACAAAGTCTTCTGCTCTGTAACTATCCTGAGCTTCCCGGCCATTGCCTTAGACAGGTAAGATCTAAGCAAATGGTGTCTCGTCCTATGCTGCTTTTTTATCTGCTGGTGGTCAACTGAAAGAGAATGAATTGTCCCAAAGAGAGCCTCACAAAGGACGGGTTGAGCAGTGATGGAAAATAAGAGCCTTAAGAAAAGACCTGTGGTTCAGGATGCTGGGGCAGAGCTACTGGGCCATGGTGTCGCTTCAGCTTGCTTGGGATTTGGAGTAGATTGCTCATCTGATTGGTAGCCCTGCAATTAGGCCTCTTTGATGCAGGATGAAAACATTTCTGAAAAAAACAAAGGAATGAACCATGAGGTTTTTTTTTTTTTGCGGGGGGGTCCAGTCATGGGGCCTGAACTCTGGGCCTGGGCGCTGTCCCTCAGCTCTTCAGCTCAAGGCTCCCACTCTACCACTTGAGCCACAGCGCCACTTCCGGCTTTTTGCTTATGTGGTGCTGAGGAATCGAACCCAGGGCCTCATGCATGCAAGGCAAGCACTGTACCACTGAGCCACCTTCCCAGCCTGAACCGTGAGTTTTTTTTAACAGATGATTGAATGGCTCAGTTGGGCCCCTGCCAGCTAACCTGAGAACTCTTCTGGGGGGTTTATCTCTAAAAGCTCATATCGTCTTCATGAGTGGGTTTCCTCTCCTCCCACCATGCTTCAAAGGTTGTTCATTTGGAAATGAATATCATACCTTACTTATTGCCATCATTCATGATTTGGAACTCAGGAGTCTTGATGTCTAGATTGTGCTGGGTTCTCTAATGCATTTTGTGTTGACCCACCTGTGATCGTGGAAGTTATCCTTTTGTTGTGTGTGTGTGTGTGTGTGCCCATAATGGGACTTGAATTCAAGGACTGGGCACTGTCCCTGAACTTTTGTGCTCAAGGCTAGCGCTTTGCCACTTGAGCCACAGCGCCACTTCTAGCTGTTTTGGTAATTAATTGGAGATAGTCTCACAGGCTTTCCTGTCCCAGCTGGCGTGGAACCATAATCCTTACGTCTCACCTCCTGAGTAGCTAGGAATATATCTGTGAACCACTGGCACCCAGCTACTTCATCGGCTTTTATTTAAGAAAGAAATGTCGTGGTGTCATAGAGTTTGAACACAGGGCCTGGCACTTGCTGGGCTCTAGCATGTGAGTTATACCTCCAGGCCTTAATCTTTAAATATTAATAATGCATAATCCATTGCACAGACCATGGCTTGGGTCTGCTTTGGCTCTAAATGTAGACTAATTTATTTATGCCAGTGGCTTTGAAACTTTCTCTGAAGCGCAGTGAGTGTAAAACTTTTACAAGGTACTCTGTGCTCTTAACTCGAAAGACAGAAATGAAAGATATGAAAGCTTTTTATTGGGGGCACTCTGGGATTTAATTCTGGTGGCAATAATTATAAGGCTAGCTATGAAAATTTTTTTTCCTGATTCCAAGAGCCTTGAGCATTACATGAAGATATGGCTTTTTTTTTCTCCTTCCAAAAATTGTTGTTTTGTTTTATTTTTGGTTTACTGGTGCTTCTCATTATAGGGTTGAGTCCTTAAAAGCTAAGGTCTGAATTTCCTGCATTGTCCAGTGGTTCCTTCTTTTTTTTTTTTTTTTTTTGGTCGGTCGTGGGGCTTGACTCTGGGCCTGGGCGCTGTCCCTCAGCTCTTCAGCTCAAGGCTAGCGCTCTAACACTTGAGCCATAGCGCCACTTCTGGCTTTTTCTGTTTATGTGGTGCTGAGGAATCGAACCCAGGGCCTCATGCATGCAAGGCAAGCGCTCTGCCACTGAGCCACCTTCCTAACCCCTAGTGGTTCCTTCTTGCCTACTTTTGGTCACTGAATCTCCTAATTAAAGAGCCTGCTTCTCTGTGCAGTTAATATTACTTGTGTTCTGTATAGGTATTACTCAGTCCTCTACCCTCTGGAGAGAAAAATATCTGATGCCAAATCCCGGGAACTGGTGATGTACATCTGGGCCCATGCAGTGGTGGCCAGCGTCCCTGTGTTTGCAGTCACCAATGTAGCTGACATCTACGCCATGTCCACCTGCACGGAAGTCTGGAGCAACTCCTTGGGTCACCTGGTGTATGTGCTGATCTATAACATCACCACGGTCATTGTGCCTGTGGCTGTGGTGTTCCTTTTCCTGATCCTCATCCGCAGGGCGCTGAGCGCCAGCCAGAAGAAGAAGGTCATCATAGCAGCGCTGCGGACCCCGCAGAGCACCATTTCCATCCCCTACGCCTCCCAGCGGGAGGCGGAGCTACATGCCACCCTGCTGTCCATGGTCATGGTGTTCAGCCTGTGCAGTGTGCCCTACGCCACCCTGGTCGTGTACCAGACTGTGCTCAACGAACCCGACACGTCCGTCTTCTTGCTGCTCACGGCCATCTGGCTGCCCAAAGTCTCTCTGCTGGCCAACCCTGTGCTCTTCCTAACTGTGAACAAGTCTGTCCGCAAGTGCTTGGTGGGAACCCTGGTGCAGCTGCACCACCGGTACAGTCGCCGAAACGTGGTTAGTACTGGGGCTGGGGTGCCCGAGGCCAGCCTAGAGCCCAGCATGCGCTCAGGCAGCCAGCTCCTTGAGATGTTCCACATCGGCCAGCAGCAGATCTTTAAACCCACAGACGATGAGGAGGAGAGTGAAGCCAAGTTTCCAGGCCCAGGAGACTCGCAGGCTAAAGAGGGGCTTACTTCCTGCCTGGAAGGAGGACCGGCGCCGCAGCGAGCATCCCCTGCAACACCACCCCTGGGCTCGGCGGACTCCATAGCCCAGGTGGCCCCAGCCACCCCTGCAGAGCCTGAGACCTTTCCAGATAAGTATTCGCTGCAGTTTGGCTTTGGGCCCTTCGAGTTGCCCCCTCAGTGGCTCTCAGAGACACGGCACAGCAAGAAGAGACTGCTCCCCCCCTTGGGCAATACCCCTGAAGAGCTGATCCAGACGAAGGTGCCCAAGATCGGCCGGGTGGAGCGGAAGATGAGCAGACACAACAAAGTGAGCATTTTCCCAAAGGTGGATTCCTAAATCCTTCATGCTGGCTTTGGAGCTGAATGGTCTCTCACTCAACACACTGCAGTGGGACAGGGCTTCTGAATGGAAGGGAAAGCTGTGTCAAATCGGAGGCCCCCTTTACTGAGGGGGTGTATGCATTTATCATGGCCGTCCTCATCCGTGCTCTTTGTGAGGTGTGACCTGGGCCCTTGGAACAGGTCCTGGGTGGGTATTTCCTTGTGCATTGGGGGGGGTTCCTCATTTTCCTGGGCTCAGCAGAGAACACAGGTAAAAGAGGGTCTGATAGCTCATAGGGAGCAAGACACTCCTAAAAATTCTAGATACGTATAGTGTGCAGTGGCTACAAATAAGACACCTACTAGGGTAACTAGAAGTACTGGCCCCAGGAGAAGGGGGTGAGGGCACTCCTCCTGGCTTCCTGAGGGGCGCCATTGCCTGGCTCGCTCCTTCCCCACCCCTCTCTTCCCTTTCTCTAGGATATAACTAGGACAGCTCTCTCCCCCTGTCCTTGTGCCTATGGACTGGGGCTGAGGGAGACCTTTATCTTTGCTTCTCTTGACTATCAAGTCACCATCTCCCCTCCTTGCCCAGCGTCCATCAGTGTTGGCTGGAAAACACTGCACGCTTTCCTTGTTTTCCCAGTAAATAAGTGAGAAGCTTAGAAGTGGAGCAGGCTAAGAATTGCCCATGGCCCTAGGCTTTTCTTTCACACATGGTTCTTTATGAAAGGTGCCAAAAAAAAAGTGACACTCATAAAGCATAAAGTATATTGGAAATATTTGGAGGAACACTTTTGTAATTCAAAGGTAGCTAAAAACATGCAAGGTTGGGATAGATAAGTTGGGTCTTTTGGAAATAGAAAAGATGATTCCCAGCCAGGTGCCAGTGGCTCACACCTACAGTCTTAGCTACTCAGGATGTTGATATCTAAGGATTGCAGTTCAAAGCTAGTCTGGCAGGAAAGTCCTTGAGACTCTTATTTCCAATTAACCATCAGGAAACTGGAAGTGGAACTGGCCCAAAGTGGTAGAGCACTAGCCTTGAGTGAAAGAGCTCAGGTATAGTACCTAAGCCCTGAATTCAAGCTCCATGACTGACAAACAAAAACAAAAACTACAAAAAAAAAAACACATGATTCTAGCTGGGAATCAGTGGCTCACACCTGTAATCCTCGCTACTCAGTTGGCTGAGATCTGAGGATCACAGTTGAAAGGCAGCCCAGGCAGGAAAGTCCATGAGACTCTCATCTCCAATAAATTACTCAGATAGAGCTAGAAGTGGCACTCTGGTTCAAGTAATAGTGCTAGCCTTGAGCACAAAGAGGCTTAGGGACAGCGCCCAGGTCCTAAGTTTAAGCCCAAGGACTGGCAAAAAAAATGATTCTAGCTATGGAGACATGGCTCACTGGTCGACTGCCTGCCTTGCAAACATGAGGCCCTGAATTGAAACCCTAGTTCTGCTCAGTTTAGGAAAAAAGAAAAAAAGATTCTTCCCCAAAGACTGGGGAAAACCTGGCAAAGATGACTGCCAATCTCATTTTCACTGTGTTATATGACCGTGGTGCCCACAGACCGAGGAACCAGACAGGAGAACTTAGCATTATAAAATGCCAGTGGCACACCTAGCTCAGGTGAGCACTGTGTCCTTCCCAGTGTGTCAGTAGGAGCCAGAGTGGGCGGAAGAGGGAGGCAGGATCGTTGGCCTCTTAGTCCTGGAAGTCTGCTTTGTGATTGACATACCAGGCTGAATTCAAACCCAATACTTCATTTCAGGAGGGCAGATCAAGTGCCAGCCCTTCCTGCTCCTCTTCGTAGGGTGTTCTGTTCTGTTCTTGTGAGTGGCACTTGGTGAGTCAGTCTGCTGCCCTGAGCAGGTTTGGAGGGAAGGAGGAGGTGTCCTCGCTGTACCAACCGTCCTGCCTTACTGCACACTGGCCCTTGATCCGTGGAACCAGGCTCAGCCAGGGGAAGAGTTTCCTTTTCCTTTCCTCCCTTGAGTGTGGTGTCTTGGCCCCCACCTGGAGAGGGAGAGCCTCCTCCTCTGTGTGTGTCACCTTGTCGTGTTGTTTGCTCACAGCAAAAATGGAACTGACACCCCTCTTGAGTCGTCCCCCCCCCACACCCCCCCACCCCGCGCATGCCATCTGTGAATCCTGGCTCTGCGGGTTAGTGCCGTGACCATTCCAGCCTGTCTTTCACAGCCTTTGTAGTCATTACAGCTTTAGCAGGGGAGCAAAGAATCCGTCAGAAAATTCTGTCCGCTTTAGAGGAATCTGTCAAATGTAGCCTTTTTTGTGTCGTCCGAAAATGTATATGTATCGCTTAATAAATTCTGATGAAGCAGAATCTGAATGGATATATTTCTTATGTACGTTCCAAGATGGTTTAATTCTAACAAGATCTACACAGGTATATTTCTGTACTCTGAAGAATGTTTTAATAAAAATTAAAAAGCAGTTTATGAACTAATATAAAAAGGTGTATGGTCTGTGTTTTCCCCTCAAGTGGTGTACCATCTGCACCTCTCTCTTCCTGCAACAGAAAGGAAATTAATTCCCAAGGAGAAAGTGCAGCATTTGAAGAAGTGTCACCAAGATGGATTGCCAGTTCAGTTGGACGGTCCGCCCATCTCCAGGTAGAGCTGCTCAAGACAGCAGTGACTTCCTGTGTGGGTAGAGTCAATACCACTGTGGTCAGGGCCTTAGCTCTGACCCATCCTGACAAGCCTGTGACCTTGGACAGGTGATGTATCTGCCATCACTTTACTTTCCGCAAAACAGAAAGTAAACCCTGACTCATGTACTCCACCTTTGATCTGGTTTTAGCCATGTCTGTGGTTGGACTTCGCTGGCTGCCCCTGCTCACTTCTCTGGCTGCAGGCAAAGCCTAGCTTCTCAGCTTTCTGGTAGAGCTCCCTCCTTCCAGGGGTAACATTGGGCCCTATGTGACATCGGAACCAGTGAACAAATATCCCAAATCTGGCCCGTTCTCAGGAGGCTAAGTGGAATTGAACCCCTGTTGGCTACTACCACTGTCTTGCGTTCTGTCTTGTCTTGTTTTCTCCAGGTTTATCCACTTGCTCAGTGATCACCTTCCAAATATGTCATCTGCAGAAAGCCCTGGAGCTGTGATTTCAGAAAAATCCAAGTGAGAGAACAGTAAAACTGGTGGAGTTGTGAGAGGTAAATGGTAACGGTGATAGTCTGGTTAATGCAATGTCTGGTACAGTAGCACTAAGATCAGTGTTGTATAAGATGCAGTATGTTAAAGAGATTGATCATGGAATTCATTTGGAGTGTTATTTAGAGAACTGATCTTATTCGTTGCTGTCCATATACAAAGTGCAATACACACTCAGAGGAGGTGCACATTCTGAGAAAACATAACACTTGGGATAGTGTTCTTCATATATCCACCATCTTCCTCCTGCTTCTATCTATTTTCTTGTCTCTCTTTGCCTTGCTTCTGTTTATATGCATGGCTTCAGGGGAGAAGACAAGGCATTTGTTGCTTCCAGGGAAAGCGGAAAGCCTTTGAGTCTCTTCCCAGGTTTTGTTATCAAAGCCCAGGTTTTCGGTCACAGGGGACTCTTGGAGACAGTGAAGAGGGAGTTTTTGGTAAAGATTATGAAGACAGGACATGCTACTCAAATCTCTTGGCAAAGCAAAGACATATTGCTAAAGAGATGCTACTAAGCATGGTATATCGAAACCTCAAAGACCTGTCTGGTCCAAAATGATCTGTAGTGCTCAAGTTAGGACACTCTGGGTTAGCTGAAAGTCTCATGTGAATTTAGGGTGGAACTGAAGCCCTCCCTAGGGCAAAGTTCTAGATACAACTCAGAGGTGGCGATGGGGATATGGGTCACTGTATTTTCTGGGTGAATGGGCCTGAAGGCTGCCTCTGAGCCCAAGTACCAGGGATACTGCCAAGAGAAGAGCTGTACAAGTGGACAGGGAAACTTCCCATTTTATGGACCCCCTGCAAGTTAGGGTACGGAAGTGAGTGTAGGCAGCCAGAACATCACAGATGAGTGTCATGAAAGAAAAAGGAAGCTTTGAAGCTAATCCGGCATGTGGACAAGAATGCCAGTGACCCTGCCTGGATCGCTGAGCAATTCCATTGAAGACAAACATCCTTTGAGCAGCCTTCATCCCCCACAATGCCAGCGTAAAAGGAATGGAAAGGAAACCTTGAGTATCTGAGGTTATTTCTATCATCCCACTTACAAGAATCAAGCGATAACAAGGGAGAAAGAATATTATATTTTTCATACTAAATTTGTGGACTGAAGCAATTAGTTTATATTCAAATCTTGAGTGAAGAATTGGATTTTTCGTCCTGAAAATTTATGATTTTGTGGCCTATTACTAGTTGTGTGTGCGTGCACACATGTATGCTGGTCTTGGGGTTTGAGCTCGGCGCTGTATGACTCGAGCCGCAGTGCCTTCCAGCTTTTTTGTTTCAGGTGTTTGATTAGAGGTAAGAGTCTCTTGGACTTTCCTGCCTGGGTTGGCTTTGAACCTCAATCCTTAGATCTCAGTCTCCTGAGCAGCTAGGATTACAAACATGAACCACCAGTGCCCAGCAGCCTATTACTGTTTTACATATATACATGCCTATAAAAAATCTCTAGAGAGCGCCAGTGGCTCACGCCTGTAATCCTAGCTACTCAGGAGGCTGAGATCTGAGGATCATGGTTCAAAGTCAGCCTGGGCAGGAAAGTCCATGAAACTCTTATCTCCAATAAACCACAAGAAAACTGGAAGTGGCGCTATGCTCAAGTGGTAGAGTGCTTGCCTTGAGCTGAAGAGCTCAGGGACAGCACCCAAGCCCAGAGTTCAAGCCCCACAACCGACAAAAAATAAATAAGTAAATAAAAAATCTCTAGTACTAATTTTGTTTTGGCTTTGCCTTTCCCAAAGTCTCATTTTCTCTTTTAGTTGTCTACAATTTATAGGATTCAAGGAGGAAGATTGGCATAAATAGCATTATGTAATACTATTCTATAGTCCATATACAATTAAACTTTGATCTTCTGCCTCCACATTATTTCAGAGGAAAATTTATGTTTACAATCGATTAAGAAATGATAAGAGGTTTACATCTCTTCCCAAACCCAGCCATTCAAAGAGAATGCTGGTACTCTGTCTAGTTGTAAATATAGGTAAAATGTTTGCTACATTGCTAGAGAAGTGGAAAACATTGAAATGTGAAAAGTAAAGTAATTAAAATGAAGTTTCCATTGGCTTGCTGAGAGCTGATGTGGGAAAGGAGCACCGATTCCTACAGTCATGCTGAGAATGATTTTATGTGATCACCCAGCCCTTCAACTGGAGCAGGTGGATTACTCAGGTCTGGAGTGTCTGTCTACCTTCTTTCAAGAAGAAGGTTGTTTTGTTTTGGTTTTTAATTGGCATGACAAATACTGGAAAGAACAATTTAAAGGAAGTAAGGACTTTTTTGGGCTCATAGTTTCAGAGCTCCCAGTCCATGCTAGGCTGAGTCTGTTGCTTTGGGATGGAGGTGAGGCAGGATGTCATGGTGGAAGTGTGTGGTGGAGTAGAGTTCTCACCTTATGGTGGCCAAGAAGCAGACAGAGACAGGAAGGGTCGAGGGACAAGACACCTTACAAAGGCATGTCCCCAACCCCAGCCCCATCTCCTTCACCTTTTCGTGCCATTAGTGTGTGAACCCATGGATGAAGCCAAACCCTCAATAGTCAATGACCCCTTGATGACTGAATCTGCTAGCTGGGTCCCAGTCGTCAGCAGATGAAGTTGGGGAGGATGCTTCATAATCTGAGCCATCCTCTGCTCTGTGAGTGGATTCTAATGAGAGGAAACTATGCCTCTGATAACTTATTGGTATGGGGTTGGGGTCAGAGTGGTCCAGCGAGCTCTGGAGGAT